ATTATGCTGAGTGAAATATCTCTGTCACAAAAAGACAAATACTGCATAGTGCCACTGTTGTAAACGGGACTGACATGAGGGTTGGGGTAAGACTGAAAAAAAAAATTGGATAAATTATGTATTCTGTATTGAAACAGATGAGGGAGAAAACAATTTAAACGTGATATATGATTGGGTATTATGGTTATGACAAGAGTCCAGAATGAAGGTTGCATAGTGGAGTGTACTCGACGTGGGGAGGGGGGGGTTGTATATCAATGAAGGAATTTTTCTTTCACTTTTCAAAGAGAAGAGCGAACTGGGGTGGGGAGGGGTAGGCAGGGAGAAAAATGCAACAATGAGTGACTGGAAATAAAAAAATCTGTAAATGTTCATTAAAATAAATTTTTAAACACACACACACACACACACACAGAAATCTGTTGGCAATAAGCAGTGAGGGAAGAACAGTGACAGAAAGATGAAGGATTTGAGCACGAATGAAGAAGTGGAGGGTGCTCACAGGTAACCCCCTAAGCTAGTGTTGAGCTGTAATGACCCACGGGATTAGCTGGGCTCTGCTTTTGAAAATTCCATCACCAATTAGCTTAACAAAATTCCACTGTGCAGACACGCAACCTTTAACTATTACTTAATTAAAACACATTTTCATTCTCAAATATCATTCCACAATGACAATACTGTAATATTAACTTGGGGTATTGAAATTGTAATTTTACAATGGTCCCAAGAGCACAGGGATAATTACTTAAATGCAAAGAAGTTGGAATTCAGTGCACTGAGTGAGAACTGACTTCCTGCTGACCCTCCTCTGGGTGTTCAAGGCTGTAAATTGCATAGGAAGTGACTGTCCATATATTTCTTTCAAAGCAGCTGGTGGATATGAACTGTCAGAGAGGCATGGGCATTGGGTTAGCAGTGGAGTTCCCTGAGGACTCCATCAACAGAACTATTGGACTCTACTGAAGTACGCTGTTCTGTATACCTTAAGTGCTAACATCTACTATGTAATTTTTTACATTACCAAGTCTGTTGTTAGACTCAACAGAACACCTTTTTTATCTGTGATGGCCCCTCATATGGCCTTTAGTATCCTACAAATAATCAAATTATTGGGTTTAAAACCAGATTATTAAATGGAAATTAAATTTTTAAAAATCTTTTTTGTTGTTGAGTTTCTAACACAGACACACTAAGATTCTTACAAAAACTTATAAATTTATATATGACGGACCCACCTTTAGTCTTCAATATGGATTAAAACTCAACATCAAGGAAATAAAGATTCTCACCACTGGGCCAATTGGCAGCACCAAAATAGACAGAGAAGCGATTGAGATTGTTAAGAATTTCAGCTTACTCAGTTCCACAATCAACACTCTTGGCATTGGCAGTCAGGAAATCAAAAAATGAATTGCATTGGGAAACTTGCTGTCAGAGACCTTTCCAGAGTGCTAAAGAGCAATTATATCCATCTAGGGACTAAAGTGTGCTTGATTCAGACCATGGTCTTCGTAATTAGTTGCTATGCATCAGAAAGCTGGACAACGAATAAGGAAGACAGAAGAAGAATCCAATGCCTTTGAGTTGTGGTGCTGGAGAAGAGTATTGAAGATACCATGGACTGACAAAAAAAACAAACAGGTCTGTCCTGGAGAGGGTAAAACCAGGTTGCTTCTTGGAGGCAAGGATTTTGAAGCGCTGTCTGACATACTTTGGGCATGTAGCCAGGAGAGAACAGTCCTTGGAGAAGGACTCATGATTGGAAGGGTGGAGGGACAGTGCAGGAGAGGAAGACCCTGGGTAATATGGATTGACACAGTAACTGGGATAACAGGGGTAGGTGTGTTGGAAACAGTGAGATTGACTCAGGATAAAGCAGGGCTCAGTGCTACAGTGTATAGGGTTGCTATGAGCTGCAAATGACTCAATGGTACATAACAGTAACAGACACAATTTCAACACTATTGCTTAGGAAACATCTGAACTGCTATCGCCTTCTCATCAAGGATTCTGCTTCATGATCCTCTTTCTGTGTATGAAGCCAGCTGAGGCAAAGTCTAGCAGTTTAAGTTCCATGAGAGGAGGAGCCTAGAGCTGTGCATGGTATAGAGAACTCCTTCAACAGATACATATGTTTAATGAAGCAGCTACTTTTCTTTTTCTCGACAAAATATTTTCTTTTGTAATGGATGTCAGAAGAAACTCTGAAGATTGCGCTGGAGCGTAGAGAAGCCAAAGCACAAGGAAGAATTCAAGATACTAAAGAGCTGAACAGAAGATTCCAAAAGGCTGCTCGGAATGACAAAGCAAAATACT